AAAAAAAAAAAAAAAAGAGTTATTTTTTAGAAGGTGGGCCCCTTGTAGTACAGGCTTTCCCCACTAGGTAAGTGTTCTTGGAACCCATCAACATCAGTGTACCAGCTAGCGTTGTGAGAGGCTGCATTTGGCCTCAGTGAAATTTTTTTTGGAGATTCAACATGTTTGCCCATTTCATGATGGATGACTTATGAGTACTTCTGCCCACAATGTGCTAGTGTTCAGCAGTTTTTGACCAAAAATGACATGACCCCTGTGCCCCATCCTCTCTGTTCACCCAATCTCACCCTGATCCCGTACCATCTCCAGAGGAAAAAAATTCCTCGAAGGGAAATGTTTTACCAATGTGGAAGAGGTGAAGCAACAAATGGTGGAAGCACTAAAAGGCATAAAAATTGACGAGTTCAAAAACTGTTTTGAGCAGTGGAAAAAGCATCTCAATAGATGTATTGCATCAAATGGAGAGTAGCTTGAAGGTGACTGCAGTTTAAACATGTAAGAATAAATATATACGTTTTTAAAAAATAACTTTTTTGGGGGCTTCCCCCTCCTATAATAGAGCTTCAGAAGAAACTTACTGAATGCATGAGTCCCTAACCCTTTGACTTTTAAACAAGGTTGGGGATAAAGAACATGGTCACAAAGATAAAGGCCTTGAATGTCAGGCTAAGATTTAATTCAGAGGCAGCAAGGCTTTTCAGTGTATGAGTATGGAGTGACTATTATCTTTTTTTTTTTTGAGTTGGAGTCTCACTCTGTCGCCCAGACTGGAGTGCAGTGGCACCGCAGCCTCGACCTGCTGGGCTCTGGCGATCCTTCCGCCTCAGCCTTCCAAGTAGCTGGAACTACAGGCCCGCGCTACAACGCCCAGCTAGTGTTTTGATTTGTTGTAGAGATGAGGTCTTGCCAAGTTGCCCAGGTGGGTCTCGAACCCGTGGGCTCAGGCAGTCCACTCACCTCAGCCTCCCAAAGTGCTGGGATTAAAGGCTGAGCCACCGAGCCTGGCTGAGTGACTATTATCTAATGGTGGTTTGGGAAGGTTGTATTGACAGTAAGAGAGTGCTGTGAGTAAGGACTGAGACATCTGTTAGAATTAATAAACCTGAGTTGAGCAATGGAAAAATGGGACTGAGAAATAGAAAAAAATGGAGTGAAAAAGAAAGCAGTGGAAAAATGCACAGAATTTGGTGATTGAATTAGAACTCTTTTTTTTTTTTTTTTGAGTTGGAGTCTCACTCTGTCACCCAGACTGGAGTGCAGTGGCCGCTCCCGGCCACCACGGCTTCGACCTGCTGGGCTCTGGTGATCCTTCCGCCTCAGCCTTCCGAGTAGCCGGAATTATAGGCGCGCGCTACCACGCCCGGCTGATTTTTGATTTATTGTAGAGATGAGGTCTCGCCAAGTTGCCCAGGAGGGTATTGAACCCGCAGACTCAGGCAATTCACTCACCTCGGCCTCCCAAAGTGTGGGATTACGGGCTGAGCCACTGAGCCTGGTCTAGAAATCTTATATACCTGGGAAGATGAATAGAAGAAAGGGAGTGCAGAAGGGCTGTGGTTTAGATACAAGACGATTAAATATGGTAGTGCTCATGTTGTGTTTGAGGTGAATGTAGAATATCCAGGTGGTATACTGTAGACAGCTGTTATGGAGAGAGAGATCAAGGTAGGATATATTTGATTTGGGTGGCATCTGTGTAGAGGGCAAAAATAGAATGCATGTAAACTCTGCCTTATTTGTCTAAACATTTTTAAAAATCATAAGTATTGATTTTTAAAATCTGTAAATTAGATTTGTAGAATCTTGTCTTGTGCTTCCTAATGATAGGCTGATCAGTGAAAGCGGAAAGGAGAATCAAGGTGCTTGTCCTATACTTTGCTAGGTAGACATATGAAACTGTAGTTCAGTCCTTGGCAGAGCTCTAAGATCTAGTTGTGCTGTGCAAGTCAACAAGTGCTTATTGAAGGCTTACTCTGCCTCTGTCTTATACTGAGCCTTATAACGAATCACATCTGACTTATTGAGCAGTTTTTTTCCAGGTCAATTAGCAAACTTAGTTAATAATATTAAATGGCAAAACCTATTTTGTACCTAGGAGGCCTAACCCAGTGATCTGGGAATTGGTATTCATCATCACAGTATAATTCTGTTGTGCCAGACACATGAGATAATAAACATTAGGGAACTCAGAGTTGTTGGCATGTTGCATTTGTGTGCCACCTGAAGATTACTTATCCTGCTGTCATTATAGTGTATTGTAATTTAATGGTTTCAGTATTGTCTCCTTTTGTACTGAACTGTGTGTTTTTGTTTTTAGTTTTGAATTGGAATCCCACTCTGTCTCCCAGGCTGGAGTGCAGTGGCACGCTCACGGCCACTGTTGTGTTTTTTCATACCCCTTTCTGGTAGGTGTTATGAACTTCAGTGGTGATT